TCACAAAGGCTACACATTGTTTTCAATTATATGACATTGTGGAAGAGATAAACAACTACAGGGGCAGATAACAGATCAGTGGTTTCAGACTTTGGAAGTCAGGGGAAGAGTTGATTATAAACAGGCAATGCTAGGGAATTTGGGGGTGATGGAACTTTTTAGTATGGTACTATGGTGATGGATACACAACTGTCAAAATCCATAGAACTATACATCACAAAGAGAAAATTTTATTATATATAAAGTTTAAAATATCAATCAGGAATTCAGATAAACCCGATAGAATGTAAATGAATATAACTATTTATTCATTTATATACGTATAAATGAATCTAACTATATTATAAATGTGACATAATCACACTTAAGGTGGTACGGGAGATAGAAGCTAACCTAAGTAAGTTTAGAAACAGTGTTTTGATTGTCCATCCTAAGGCTAAAAAAAAATTAAGTATACAAATATTACACCCTATGTCATTGGCTGAAAAATGGCCACCCCAAATGATAAAACAAAACAAAACAAACCTGTTGCTGTTGAGTCAGTTACAGAATAGAACTGCTCCACAAAGTTTTCTTGGCTGTAATCTTCATGGAAGTAGATCACCAGGCCTTTCTTCTGCAGCACCAATGGGTGGATTTGAACTACCAAACTTTAGGTTGAGTGTAAATTGCAGTGATCTTCGAATTATACCCATATTCTAATCCCTTGAATCTGTGACTATTTACTAATCTGTTGAAAAACAACTTTTTGCAAATGTGATTAAGATAAGGATCTTGAGATTGGGCGATTATTTGAATTCTTTATCTAGGTGAATCCTAGGCACATGTACCCTTATATGCAGACAAGAGTGAGATCTTACACACAGAGAGAAGAAGGTGATGACAAGACAGAGTAGAGAGAGCTCTGAGGATGCTGACTTTGAAAACTGGAGTGAAGTGGCTACAGCTAAGGAATGTCAACAGCCAGCAGAAGCTGGAAGAGGCAAGGGATAGATTCTCTCTTAGTGCCTCCAGAGAAAGAGTGCTCCTGCCAATACCATGATTTCAGAGAAACTTTTGGACATCTGACCTCCAGAACTGTGAGAGAATAAATTTCTGTTGTTTTAAGGCACCATGTTTGTCGTAATTTGTTACAGCAGCCACAAGAAATTAAAATACCCTAATTCATAAATTTGTTTCTCACAGGGTTAAAAATTATGAAACTATATACTAAGGTAGAATAAGAACACAATCATGTGTATTTCTTTGAAACAAGGTATATGTTTACAAATTTGTTGTAGATAATGACAGATTTCTCACTGTCAAAGAAAGAAATTACCACTAAGCAAAAGTGGAATACTAGAATAATGCTCTTGTTGCTGGAGACAAATTCATCCTTTTATTAATAGGTATGCAGGTAGGAGACTTCATATTACTTGTTTCTACAGTCAACACCAATGGAAGCAGCAGTCAAGACATCAAAAGACATATTGCATTGGGCAAATCTGTTGCAAAAGACCTCTTTCAAGTGCTGAAGAGCAAAGATACCTCCTTGAAGACTAAGATGCATCTAACCCAAGCCATGGTATTTTCAATCACCTCATATGCATGGGGACAGACTTTGTCTCATCTGCTTTGGTCATGTTGTCAGAAGGAACCATTCCCTGGAGAAAGATATCATGCTTGGTAAAGTGGAGAGTCAACGAAGAAGGGGAAGGGCCCTCAATGAGATGGATAGACACAGTGGCTGCAACGATGGACACAGGTATAGCAAAGATCCTGAGGCTGGCACACGACCAGGCAGTGTTTCATTCTGCTAGGCATAGGGTCGCTATGAGTCAGAGATGACTCGATGGCACCTAACAACAACAACAACATATAAATTTAGTACATATATTTCCTAACTCTGTCCACTGAGACAGCCTAGGTCTGTCCAGTGATACCCCAGTAGTTACTTTGTGCTTAGACGTATCTTCTGAATATAAACCAGGATTTTGATTGATTTTGGATTATTACTCTTATATTCTTAGAACACCTTTCTTAGAGAGAAAAATTATCCTAATCATGTTTAAATAACTTTTCTTTCTTAAAAATAATTCGTTATCAGTGTTAATTTTTCTTCTAATTGTAACAGAGGGCTCTGGGACTGGACTCCATATTTCTGAAGTCTTATTAACTGGAAGTGGTGACAAATTCCTGTTTCGAGTGATAGCAGATTTATTTTTAAGAAAAGATTGCTCTTTTAAAGATATCTTCAGAAGGCTATTTGATTACCCAAAGTTCTTTTTGTGGTCTGTATTAGAAACACTGTACATAACTCCACTGTTGTTATGTGCTGTTGAGTCAGACCCGACTCATACGACGCCTCCTTGGGTTTCCAAAGTGGTATCACTACGGAAGTAGATTGCCCAACCTTCCTTCTGAGGAGTTGCTGGTGGGTTTGAACCACCAGCCTTCTAGTTAGCAGTCAAGTGCCTTGGGCACTACACTACTAGAGCTCCCAAACCAGTAGCTGGTTCAAACAACCAAACAACCCTGGTTCCTTTATCTTTTCACTGTATACCCACATGGATTCAATCATGTATATTTCTATTAAACAAGGTATATTTTTATAATTTTAGGTGTCAGCAGCATCAAACCACAAAACCGTGAGTTGTTATCATATGGAACTCATCACTGCACACCAGGGCCAGTGCAATTGTCTCCTAATTGGCCATTCCTTTTCTCTTGCGAATCTAACATTTAAAGTATAAGGTCTTTATTGTCTAAGAAGTCAAGTAAAAATACTTCTAGATCCTCTATAAATCAGTCTTATATATATTAAACTCAATTTCCTACTATTATTCTTTACTCCAATTAGGTCTATTGTCTCAAATTATAAATTATAAATAAATGATAAGTTCCTTGAGTTTAAGATTATATCCCTAGCTCTTTTATACACTTTCAAAATGCCATCTACTCTGTAGATAATTTAGAAACACTGATCTTATTTTACCTCACTTACTGATACATGATAAGTCTACTCTATTGGTGTATTAGGCAAAATTCTGCTTAAAATAAACCATCAAGTCATTGGATCACATGAGGTTAAAACCAGTTTTGAATCTCTTAGTAAATACCAAGTAAACCAATTCTAATTCTTTTTCATATTAATCAGTGTCTTTATAACATATAAAAAATGAAAAATTAATTCAATCATGTTGTTGCTGTTGTTGTTATGTGCTGTTGAGTTGGACCCAACTACTACAGAAGTAGATTGCCCCATCTTCCTTCCGAGGAGTGGCTGGTGGGTTTGAACCGCCAGCCTTCTGTTTAGCAGTCAAGTGCTTTAGGCACTATGCTACCAGAGCTCCTAATTCAATCATAGGGTTAATCAAATTAAATATTTTATATGAAAACAAAAACTCTAGCTTTTTAAATGAAATTTTCATCTTTGAACTTGTTGTTGAAAGTTGTTATTTTTTTATCTCAATAAACAAATTTTCTTAAGTCTAAAGTTTCCTTAAATTCTATCATTAGCTAGATCATTCTTCTGACTTCTTGAAAGTCTTTGGTAAGGCTTAACTTACAGTGTAGCTATCTTGAATCCTTACCGAAAATTTGGTTCAGATGTCAAGACCAACAAGGTATGAAAAGGTTTACTATTCATGTAATGACACTTTCTGGGGAGTGCAAGGCAGGCCTTCTAAGCTAGTCAGAAAATGACATGAGAGACAGAAAGGAGACTGGCTTTGGGTTTTCATGGTGGTTAGGGAGTTCTGGTAGCTTAGTGCCTAAGGCACTTGATTGCTAACCAGAAGGCTGGCAGTTCAAACCCACCAGCCACTCCTCAGAAGGAAGGCTGAGCAATCTACTTCCATAGTGATACTGCCTTGGAAACCCAAGGAGTGGTCGCTATGAGTCAGGTCCGACTCCATGGCACATAACAACAACAACAGGGAGTGAGGCTAAGGCGAGGACTCCCGCGCATGGTTTGAACTTCCAGCTGGTGTCAAGGGAGGAAGCACATGGGTCTTGTCAGCTTGCCCATATTTAGGGCAAAAGGAAAAGACTGAGTGAAGCTTAAAAGTTGTCAGCAATCAAACAACAAAAATGGAGACATATTCTTTATTTTATGATAACTCAATACAAGTAATAAAAGACAAAATACAAAGATATTGAACAATATGTTTATATAATTTCATCACATTTTATATATCCTCATTTAAGCCACGTACAATTAATGAACTACATGTAAAATAAAAGGTGAAATCACTTTCAGAGACAGGAAACAAAATCTTAAATGTTGCACAAAAAAGGTTTAGGAAAAAATAAACACCATCATCACTGATACAACACTCAAATTTTCAGAAATTACTCTATTCTTTTACATTTACTTTCCTTTCATTAAAGATATTGAAATTACTGATTGTCCCTGCTCTTACAATTTGTTGAATTAAAAGAAAATAGCACACACTTTATTCACTATCAAGAATATAAATTCTTAGAGATTACTACTAGAGTACTACATTGTATAACACAACAATGAAGCATAAATGAAATCCAATTGTTTTAAAAGAATTTTTTAGTACCTAAAGTCCATGTTAGCACTAATTCTTCAGAGTTACCACTAAAAGGTCTCCTAATGGCCTGAAGTTATTTCTTGATCTTATCAAAGGATTTAAAATACTACCAGAAGGAAACTTAGGTTCTGGGAAAAATCAGGCTTAATATTTACAATAAAGATTAATGGGAAAAGAAGCATCAAATTCTATTAAGATTAATAAAGGTCTGACTAACTATGGATTGTAAAGCCAAAACTGAAATAAATAATTAGCTAATACTACAAAAAAAAAAAAAAAAGATAACATAGGCTTAATCTCTCTAAATATTTAATATAATCAGGTAAGGCAACTATGGCAACTCTTTATTGATTTAATCAACAAAAGTACGTAGATAGCCTTCATGTTTTAAGCAATAATGTAAATTTATGCCCTAAATAATTGGAGAACAGTAAAATAATTCAAGGAATTAGTAATTACTTCAAAAAAAGAGTAAATTTTGTTGTATTTTGTGAGGAAGATGGACAGCTTTTTAAAGAGGAAGAATGTATGACATTTTGATCCTGTTCAAATGAAAATGGAAAACTAAAATCATCTTTTACAGTTGAAGAGTCTGATGGAAAAGAAAATGTAAAAGCATCTTCTCCTTCTGCTTTCCCAAAAAAGTTTCCTGAGGAAGATAAATATGTTATGTGAAGTTTCTATAATCTACTGAATTACAGTATACTGATACAATATACAGAGTAACATTGAATCATTTATCTATTAAGCAGATTTTTAACTGTATTCCTCTTGGGTGGAAAGCACTGTCCTTAGTACTATGGAAGGTTAAATTAAAATAATCAAACTTAAACCCTACTTCCAAGTAATCTGAATTCAAGAATATAAAGAACTAGTATACAAAGTAGAAAGTGGGGTAAAATACCTCATATGGAGAGAATAACACAGAGGCACAGAAATAGGCATGCATAGGAAGTATGAGGAAATCAATTCACCTTGGCAGGAGCACTGAGAAATAATAGAGAAGTATAAGAGGGACTTACTAGACATGAGCTTCAATAGACTACAGAATGCCCAACTATAGATTTTTATTTGATAGGTAATAGTAAGCCATCAAAAGTTTTCAAGATGAGACATGCCATGATTTGAACTGTGCTTTATAAGGATTACTCAGGAAATAATGCAAAAAGTTTGGAACAGGGGTGTTGTCTACATGTAGGGATAACAGGATGGAAGAAATATCTATTGCCCAGTAAAGAGGTGATGAAAACCTGAACTTAGCAATGGGAATGCAGGAAAATGCTTGATCTGAGAGATATTACATAAATTAAACTTATTCAGTTATTATTTATTGGGTACAATACACTATTCATGGCATTGTTCAAGGAAACTGACAGCCGTGCTGCACAGAGTTCCATAGTTTTAAAAAAAACTTTTAAAGTAAAATTTACATATAAAATTATTTGGTTGATGACTCTCTGAATTTCCATTAAGGAAAAACATTATATTTCATTTATTACATTATTTAAAGCTGAAAATAGAAAACACTTTCAACATCTTAATTATAATTTAAAATCAATTCTTAAGCAATTAAAACATACAGTAATCCAAATTCTTACCTGAAACAAATATTTTTAAGTACTTATATTTTTTCCAGTAGAGAACCAATTCAAATAGTACATTAAACTAAATTACTTTGTGCCACTTTGAAATTTTCATATATTTTTTAAAAATCTTTATTTCACCCTAACTACAGCTGAGCCAACAACAGCAGGTTGAATATATGAACAAATAGATGGATGACTGGATGGATAAATGGATTACCAGAACTTGAGTTCTTCCTCTCTCCCTTTCTCACTTAATTTTTCTACTGACTTTTGTATATCTGTAATACTTAAGCAAGAAAAATAGCTATAATGTATAATGTATATATAGATCCAGAGAGAACCAAAATCTTGAGTCTTTCTTTGAATAATCTGATTTTTTTTTTTAATTTCAGAAGAAAGGAGGTTCATGAAAGGGCTTCACACCATGCTCGCTGTAAATAAAATAACAGAATACTTCTTTGTATTCTTGAATTTAATGTGTCTTGAATCTCTAGTGCTGCTATAACAGAAATACCACACGTGGATGGCTTTAATAAACAGGAATTTAGAAGGCTGGCGGTTGAAACCCACCAGCCACTCCTCGGAAGAAAGATGGGGTAATCTACCTCCGTAGTGATACTGCCTCAGAAACCCAAGGAGGGGTTCGCTATGAGTCAGGTCTGACTCGATGGCACATAACAACAACATACTTTAGGACAGGAGCTCTGGTGGTGTAGTGTCTAAGGCACCTGACTACTAACCAGAAGGCTGGTGATTCAAACCCACCAGACACTCCTTAGAAGGAAGGTTGGGCAATCTACTTCCGTAGTGATACTGCCTCAGAAACCCAAGGAGGGGTCGCTATGAGTTGTGTCCAACTTGACAGATGTAACAACAACAATAGCAGCATACTTTAAGATGCTAGAAGTCCAAATTCAGAGTGCTGGCTCTAGGGACTGGATGAAACCCCTCAACCTTGGGCTTCAGCTCTGCCTCTTGCTCCTGGCCCACTGGAGCTGGAGGCATCTCTTAACTCAAGCAGCTGCTGGCTGCTGAGGCTGACAAACCCAAGGTTGGCAAGTAAAACAGCACAATCCCAAGATCAGCAAGCAACACAGCAGGCCACTGGTTCATGTCCAGGAACTGGACATGAAGACTCAGCCAAATGCAGGATCCAAATGTGCCAAAAGCTAGAGAACTTTCTCAAAGCTTTTCCTTCTATATGGGAAACAGGCCACAACCCAAAGACACCTAGTAGCTGCTCAAAGCAGATTCCACCACAGAGGTGATTACAGTCTCATCATGGGGAATAACTACATCCAGCTGCCCAGCCACTCAAAACCAGGACCCAGACAAGTTGAACACACCCTTAACCACCACACTATGTAAGACAGTATGCTAAGTCTGTGGGAAGTTCAAAAGTGAATAAAACAGAGTCCCTGTCCTCATAGGGCCTATGACCTACAGGAGATTTTATATATATTCATAAATAAATATGATAGAAAGGAGCTTTGATGCTAAGGCATCTGACTGCTAACAAGAAAGTTGGCAGATCAAACCCACCAGCCACTCCACAGAAAGAAGATGGAGCAATCTACTTCCATAAAGATTTACACCTCAGAAAGCCAACGGAAGTTGCTATGACAGAAAAAAACAAAAAACAAACCTACTGCCATCAAGTTGATTTCAACTCAGCAACCCTATGGGACAGATTAGAATTGCCCCAAAAGTTTCCAATGCTGTAAATCTTTATGAAAGCATATTGTCTCATCTTTCTTCTGTGGAGTGGCTGGTTAGTTCCAACCACCGACCTTTTGGTAAGCAGCTGAATGCCTTAACCCCTGTACTACCAGAGCACCTTATGATAGAGGATATAATGTAAAAGAGTATTTTTAAAAATATCCAGAAAAGTGAGGGAGAGATCTTTTTGGAATGGAAGAGTGAGAGAGGAAATAAGAAAAGATTTTATGGAAGAGAATATGGTCTGGAACAATAGAAAGAGATGGAGGTTGAGGATTTCAACAAGAAAAAAGTAGGTAAGAAAGTGTGGACATATTTGAGAGGAACTAAGTTCTTTGATCTGGCCAAAGCACAGGTTATCTGAATAAAATAAAAGTTAAAAAGTATGTTGGAGCCAGGCTAGAAAAACCAAAAACAAAACCAAACTCACTGGCTTCAAGTCAATTCTGACTCACGGCGACCCCTCCTGGGGTTTCCAAGGTGGTATCTCTACAGAAATAGATTGCCCAGTAGGACCATAATCTGCTAGTAAATAAGGAGCCACTCCTCGGAAGGAAGGTTGGGCAATCCTACTTCCGTAGTGGTACTGCCTCGGAAACCCAAGGAGGGGTCGCTATGAGTCAGGGCCGACTTGACGGCACATAACAACAACAACAACAAGAGTTGACTAGAGCAGTAACACAGCTAGCGTTATGCAAAAGGAAGATTAGTTGGGCTATGATCTAGAGATAACCTGAAAGGATAACAAGACCGGTTCTTATTACAAACCCACCAGCCACTCCTCGGAAGGAAGACTGGGCAATCTACCTCCGTAGTGATACAGCCTTGGAAACCCAAGAAGGGGTTGCTATGAGTCGGATCTGACTCAACAGCAGTGAGTTTTTTGTTTTCTTTTTTTCTTTAAATTACAATAGCCCAAGTGAATGGTAGCAAAAATTTGAAACATAGTGGTGTCGATGAAAATTGAAAAGAAAAAGAAGTAAGTATTTTTAGAAACTGAACTGATAAAAGTTCAGTTTCTAAATGTAGTCACTGAATGTAATCACAGGCAAAGAGAAGTTAAAGTGATCACTGAATTGTGTTGCTGAATGTAGTCACAGGCAAAGAGAAGTTAAAATTATCACTGAGGTTCTGAATCCTGGCAATCAGAATAATGGAGATATCATTAGGGACATCAGAAGGAGAACAAGTTTGATTTTAAATATGCTGAATCTTTAATACCTACAAATGTCTTACATATAAAGATATTTGGATTATACAATCAGAAATTAGGTCTTAGAGTTTAGGAGAAAAGTCAGTAGGGAAGATAATAATTTGGTCATTACTTGTACCATAACATTTCAAAGCACTTAAGTGAAGGAGTGTCAAGTGAATGACAGTGTTAAAAAGAGAATGTAAATAGATTTAAATTTTTATATGGCAGACATTTAAAGAATGTCTATAATTAGTGCCTGCTAACCAGACGGCTGGTGGTTCAAACCCACCAGCCACTCCTCGGAAGGAAGGTTGGGCAATCCTACTTCCATAGTGATAATGCCTCGGAAACCCAAGGAGGGGTCGCTATGAGTCGGGGCCGACTCGACGGCACATAACAACAACAACAACATAATTAGTAGATTCCTTCTGGTCTCATAGCATTAAATATCACTTCTTTTTCTTTTCAATTTTCATTTCTGTCTCCACTCAACTGCATTCCAGACTCATATTCCCAACTTCCTACTTGACTTTCACTTTATGTTGTTGTGAGGTGCTGTCAAGTTGGCTCTAACTCTAGAGACCCTATGTACAACAGAAAGAAACACTGCCTGGTCCTGCACCATTCTCACTATTCCTGCTATGCTTGAGCCCACTCTTGCAGCCACTGTGTCAATCCATTTAGTTGAGGGTCTTCCCCTTTTTCATTAACCCTCTACTTTACCAAGTATGATATCTTTCACCAGGGAATGGTTCTTTCGGACAACATGACCAAAGTAAGTGAGATGAAGTTTGGCCATTCTTGCTTCCAAGAAGCATTCTGGTTGCACTTCTTCCAGGACAGATTTGTTCATTCTTCTGGCAGTCCATGATATTTTCAGTATTCTTAGCCAACACCACAATTCAAAGGCATCAGTTATTCTGCCTTACTTATTCATTGTTCAGCATTCACATGTATATGAGGTGACTGAAAATACCATGGCTTAAGTCAGGTGTACCTTAGTCTTCAAAGTGACAGCTTGCTTCTTAACATTTTAAAGAGGTCTTTTGCAGCAGATTTCCCAGTGCAATACAACATCTGATTTCCTGCTTGCTGCTTTCATGGGTGTTGACTGTGGATCCAAGTAAAATGAAATCCCTGACAAGTTCA